AAGTTTTTTCAAGTGGTGCCCGTGTAGCTCGGGCGATAGCTGGATAGTGAATAGTATTTTACGAGGTGGAGCGTACGCTCGGATTCAGACTGAGCAGTCAGAGGTAGAAGGCCTGGACTCTGAAGCGCTGTTTTTTTGTTCGCGCTTGATGATGTAGTTGCACTGTGAGGTGCAAATTTGCAAAACCTCTAAATTTGGAGTTGACAATCAAATTGAATCAATATAATAATATATACTGGGGCCAAATTCATCATCTGAGGGCATACTCAAACTAGGGAGTTTTTTCCTACTTAGCTCTGGACGTGACTGCAGTCAGATTCATCCAGGTCCAGCCATAATTGCAGTCAGTTGCATTTAGGACAGCGCCATGCTTTGAGAACGAAAAAATGCCCTTCGTTTTTTTTTTTTTTGTTTTGCTGAATAATGGGCTCCGATCTACTCGTGGGGAGCAGCACGTGCCGGGAACCAAGCCCAGTGTCCCCCACTTCTCCTTTATCCAGATACTACCTTCGTCATCCGAATACAAATATGGGGGATCATTACAGCTGTATTTGGGGCATCTTTCAGTCTAAAAATACAGCAACGGTGAGTACGAATGACAGTACACCGTACGGTGTACGAACCCTTTCGGGTGAAGAAGATAGTCTGAGAAAAAAATTATCATTAAACTACCTTCTTCGCCCAAATACAGCATAGTACGGTCATTATTGCTGTCTTTTTTAAAGACTGAAAGATGCCCCAAATACAGCTATATAACTGTACGGTCATTATAGCTGTATTTGGGGCATCTTTCAGTCGTAGATTTACCAGTTCCTCTATCTCCCATAGTATGAGATTCTTTTTGAAATAATTTCTTGATCTTCTATTTTTTCGCTTTTCAGGTCTCAGAAGTTGGCCTGAAGAATTATTCATTTACTTTTATGTAGCTGTATTTGGGGCATCTTTCAGTCAATGCCCGTATGCTGTATTGGGGTGACGAAGGTAGTATACTGAGAAGAACGAGTGCAACCTCCAGCCGAATACAGCGTACACCGTACGGTCATTAATACTCATTGTTGCTGCATTTAGACTGAGAGATGCCCCAAATTTCGACCCGTGCAGTGAAGGGCAGGTCCTCCCGATGCCATGGTCGTAGAGAGGATAGTGTTCTTGCTAATTTAGCATGAACATAGCATCCGCGGGGCCTGTGCTGTGTCATGGCTCCCTGATTGGCCATCCATGGCTGATGGCGCCCTGCCATGCTGGTTCTTTGCTGGAACCACCTCCTCCATGACAGCCAAAATCGCGATGGTGACATGGGGCAAGCAAGGTCCTTTGTTGTTTTTCCAAAGAATCGAAACCCTCCGCTGCTTACCAAGAGAGTACCCAGCAGGTGGAGCTGCTCCCCAGCGATAAGATTGGAGCCATTTACACTGTGTCGGTAGTGGTGGTTGCTCATATAACCACCACTACTACACACATATGATGTTAAAAAAAAAAAAAAAAAAAAAAAAAAAAAAAAAAAAGAGAGTACTCACCTGTCCCCTGGCCGGTGTCCTCCGTTGGGGGTTCCCTGAAGGCAATCAAGGCCACCCTGGGCTGAAAAGGGCACCCGATGTCAGATTAGACACAATATTGAATTTACCTGGGCTGGTTAGTCCGATGATAATACCTCAAGGTCATCGCCCTTTTAAAAAAAAAAAAAAAAAAGAGTCTGATCCCACTTCTTATAGGCAACAGTCACTTTTTGGTAAACTTTGGGATCCCACTTGTTTCCGCGAGAGCCGGAGTCGGCCCCTTTTTTTCGAAGAAGTGGAAACAGCTTAGTACATGGCAGTGCGAGCGCGATTGGAGGACATTGCACCACTTAGTTCTTTCAAAAATCAAAAGATGCCAACCCCGTACCCTGCACCGTGAAAGAAGGTGCCCTTGTCTTTTTCTTTCTTTCTTTTTTTTTTCCTGATGTGCAGGCCGTTCGATCCTGGAGGTGCCACAACATAGTGGCGCTCAGTTTGGCAAAGTCCCGCAGAAGTAGGGCATGTGGGGTCGCGTTTTTCTTTTACGTTCCGTGCCCTGCGCCTCCACCTTCTGCGGCAGTTTTCGGTGGGATCAGACCCTAAGGTACGTACTACGTACGTTATGTCTGAATTCATTATATAATACTATCACGAGAAGGTAGGATAAGCCACACCCTAAACCCTAATGAACTACCGATGGCTGGGGCTATGTATGTGTATAGGTTTTCAGTTTGGGTGCATGCTTAGAGTTTACCTGAAGTTGATTTTCATAATTGCACTGTGACCATCAGATTCCCTAACAAGGCCTGCTTAAAAGGTGTGGGACCTTTATGATAATGACCCTGAAAAAACCCTGAAAATTTTCAGGGCTCTGTTCACCTCTTCTCATGACATCTAGCTATGGAAGATGGTGCTCTACTCCCGCCATAGCCAACCTCCAAATGAAGTCCACGTCCAGCTGGTACTCCAGCAGGGCCCTTCTTGATGCAGTACCAACCAGAGGAAGGTTCACCATAGCCACAGTTAAGGTCTCCTTGTCCATTCTCACTTCCTTCCTCCTTCCCTCACAACCTCTACTTCACCTCCATAACCTGGCTGGACGGCCTTTTCCCTCTACCTCCATAGCCTATGCCTCCTTCTACCTCCCACTACTCTTTCTCCCTAGCCATGAAGGTCGCCTTCCTCCCCCTCAGCTCCTCCTACAATACCCAAAAGCTCTGCCTCACTCTCCTTCTGTGCGGAGGCAGAGCAGGAGCAGAAGCAGGATTGTCAGGTGAATGCCTGGACTATGCATTGCACCGAACAATATACTCTTGCCGACCGACCTCCAGTACCTCTTGTGCGTGGCCGAGCACTTCCTGCCTCTACCCCGTGTCCCTTGGATGCACTCGTGCTACCGGATGCTCCTCCTTTTTGCGGGAACATCATTGCAGACCGATACGCACCTGCAGGACCCAGATCTACCTCAAAAGCTGTCTACATTCCATCCCTGGACTATCATTACCTACTGGACAGCTATTGGACCTTTCTAGGCCCACACGCGTCACTGAAATATCCCTATTGGTTCCTAACAAATTCGGTTTATGTCCCTGGCCGACCTACTAACCTCGGCATGTCCTCCTACTCCTAAACTTCATTCCTATCCCTGAGTCGGCACCTATTATGCACCATCAGCAAGACACAGACTCAGAAAACACAACAAAACAGACTTAAACTCAGAATGTCAGCAAACAGGTGAAAGGTAGGGAAAAAAAAAAAAGAAAAAAAACTATCTCAAAGTGATTCTCAGGCTGAAAACTGCATGGTATTTACAACTATAATAATAACCGAAACCACACACACGCTTCTTCCCATTAATGGTTGGAAGATCCTTGGCCCATTACTATATTATGTAGTCGGTTCTCTTTCATCCTCTCTCTCTCTCTCTCTCTCTCTCTCTCTCTCTCTCTCTCTCTCTCTCTCTCTCTCTCTCTCTCTCTCTCTCTCTCCTGTGCCTACACCGTCTACGAGCCTGAACCCTCCTTCCTCAGTCCTCATGTATTTCTATCCGCTCTGATTTCATAGCCCTTCTTTCCTTATTCTGCCCTTTCGAAGCTTCTCTCGATTGCTTTGCTTGGGTGCCTTGTCTAATAATAATAAAATATTTAAATAAAGCAAATAATTTATAAACTGTATGCTAGTAGTAAGACGTGTCGGCGTCTCCCCACTACATGCGTCAGACGCCGACTCGTACACCGCAAGTCCTAAGTTAAAGAATTTAGACCAAAAGAACAGTATAATACTATAATGATAGTATAATCTAATACATTAGACAAAACTTCGCAAAAGAGAAGACAAAGGATTTTAGCAGGCACCAACAAGCCTAGCTCTGGTGGTACACCCATCGACTGTTGAAATACAGACCTGATTTTGAATCCTGCCGGACCTTGATGAATGGGATATATCATTCTGAATTACCTAAGGAACGGTCCGATCAATGAAGATATCCCAAGGCCATCACCCTTTAAAAACAGAAAAAAGAAAAGGACAACGAGCCATTGCTTTTTGGTTTTCGCTCTGTTAGAAAACCCTTTTCAGTTTACTTCGTAAAATTTTATATGCGACGCTGGGCCCGGTTCCCAGCATGTGCTGCTCCCCATGAATAGATCGGAGCCTTGCTTTGTAGTCAAAAAAAAAAAAAAAAAAACAACAACAACAACAACAACACTGTCGGAGCCTTGCTTTGTAGTAAAGAAAGAAAATACTGAAATAGATAAAGTGGGACATGAGTTACAATTGGAACAA